TGAAGCAATGTTACTTAAACCTTTCCCATTAAACCATCCAGCCCAGCCCCAGATCCAAAAGGGAAGAAGAACCTCCAGGGAATCAGGGGGGGGTCCCCTCTTTCTTTCCCTGGGAAACTCAGGGCGGCCCCACCTTTGCCCTCCTCAACCCCACAACCGTCTGCCATCATCCTCTCTCAAGTGCTGGGAGGCAGGAAGGGGAAGGACCAGGCATGCCCCTGGGCAACCATAAAGGATGGGAGGGGGGCTGTTTTGTTGGTTTTTTGGTGGGGTGGGGAGGAAATCCCAGAGGAGGTGAAGGGAGGAAGAGGAAGAGGGAGGAAGGAGGCCGGGCTTTTCTGAGAGCCAAAGGAAAATCAAGGACTGACCGGAAAAGACAGGAAAGAGTTTTTTGTCTGGAGGGGGAAGGATTACGCCTGCCCACCCCCTCCGTCCTCCCCCCAAAGCCACCTCCTTGGGAAGAAGACAGGAGGAGAGGGGGCAGGAAATGCTGGGCTGCTGGTCCCGATGAAAATAAATAGGCAAGGAAATAACAGCAGAACAGCAGAACACACACTGTGGGCTGAGGAGGGACACCCACACCCCGGCCTCAAGCGAAATCTGTTTGGTTTTACTTCTGCAGATTTTCAGGTCAGAAACATGGGAATGTAGCCTAAACTGCATCTCAACACAAACAACAGAGACACGGACACACACCCGTTCGAAGGCGGTTTGGTCCCAGGCTCCCACGGCCTTTTCTGAATAATTGGGGGGGGGGAATCTCCCCAGGAACTAATTGGGGGGGTCTCCCCACATCTGTCGAAGGGTAGAGACGGCTGCCCATCCCAAAGCCTTACACTATCTCCCCCCCCAGATGGGAGGGAGGGCTGTGCCAGGAGAAGCCCCCCCCCAAAAAACGCTTTATTCTTGATCCCAAGGAAAATAGAGAAGCAAGTCAATAAGTGTCAGACAATAACAACAGCAACAAAACACACGCCCTGGACTGAAGAGGGACCCCCGCTGTCCGCCCCCATGCCAAGTCATGTCTGTCAGGTTTTGACTTCTGCAGATTATCAGGACAGAAATCTGGAAATGTACCTGAAAGCGTATCTCAGACAGACAGACAGACAGACATACGTGAGGGTTTGAAGTCAGTTTGGTCCAAAGACCCCACGGCCTTGTCTGGCAGCCAGAAACTATATTTTCTCACATGTTTTCAGTGGTTTTCGATGTTTTTTATTTATTGCTGTTAATTTCTATAATTGTTTAATTCACTATATTTTTATCTACATTTTTCATTTAAATGCCCTTACATTTCTCCTGAGTGCCTTTACTTTATTGTATTATATTCAAAAATTCGATTGGAATCCATGACATTTATGCTAAAGTAAGAATTAAAATACCACAGTCTCTTTTTAATTTTGTAACTTGCAAAGACATGCTTACAGGTGAAAAGACGGGAAGCAGGCTGTGATCACAGCACAATAAGTTGTGTTTGGAGGGAAGGAATTGTCAAAAGGGTTACAATGGCAAAAAAAAAAAATTCAACCGAATTCAAATTACATGTTTTTGACAGTGAGGGTCCTATTGAGGTGTATGTGCTGATCCAGCTGGAGATGCTGCTGAGAGCCTCTTGAGTCTCCCTCCTCCCTCGGTGAATAGCCCCCCCCCTCCAAAATCCCTCTTGCTGTCCCCACTGAGAAGGCAGCCTCTCCTCCACCCCTCCTGCCACTCACCAGGCGCCTCCCAAGCCAAGACCAAAGGCTCCCCCAGGCTGGCATGGTCCACGTGGCATCGGTACAGGTCTCTCTCCTCGGGGTCGATCTCGATGCTGAGCCAGGCGTGGTAGGTCCCATCCAGATAGGGGGCCACGCTCCTGTGGAAAGTGCCTTCCTGCAGGACCTCTCCGTCCTTCCTCCAAGTGACGTCAATCTCCTTGGGGTAGAAGCCGTAAGCCTGGCAGACGAGGGTCTCTCTCTCATCATAGCCCTCCTTCTGTGTCACCTTCCCCACAGGACGATCTGCAAAAAATAGCAGGGCTGGAATGAAGACGGAGCCCCTTCCTGTGCCTGGCAGGGCGGTGGCTTGGCTTCGATCCCGTGGGACTCGTCTGTTCTTCCACACAAATCCCTCCCCAGAGGACTCTTGAGAGATTTTCTTTTACAGCGAAAAGGAAAGGAATGGGCAGAGCTTTTACTAGTATCTTTAAAATGATCTGAAAAGACTCCGTGGCCAAAAAATCATGCTTCTTGGAACTGGCCAGGGCATCAGCCCCAGAGACCGGGCGCAAGAGGGAAAAATACTTGGTAGCTGAGGGGCCAGCAAAAACTAGGATCATCTTTCTCATTGCCTTCTGGGAAGGCTCTCTGCGCTGGCTGCTCTTTGCTCTCTCTCTCTCTCTCATCAGTTCTTTCACTGGTGCTTATTAATCAGTATATGTAGTGAATGATGCAGAAAGTCCCAGAGGAAAGAGAAACATTTAGTCTTCTGAGTTGCTCTCCCAAAATTAAATAAATGAAATCTCTCACAGCAGATTTATGTGGACTAGAGTTACCCTAGAGGTTCCTACCACACCCAGCCAGAATTTCCAAAGGCGGCCCCGGCCATCCCCACAGAGTATCTCCCGCAAGGAATTGGGGAAGAAAGGGAGATGAAAAAGTTTGGGAACCAGTAAAAGAAAAGAAAAGAAAAATTGCAGAAGGGATCAAGAATTTACAGCAGGGTCTCTTTCTGTCTAGTGGCCAGTCCTGATAATACATGAGGCTTTTTTCTTTCTTGTAATCTTTTTAATACAGTACAGTATTTTCAGACCATGGGTAACTGAATCAGCGGATATTGATCCAGTGGATACTGGGGTCCTAATATCATTGTGTTTTATTTAGTATATACTTTAATTTCATTTTAATGTTTAATGTTTTATGTTGTTAATTCTTTTAATTTTGTGAGCTGCCTTGGGTCCCCTTATCGGGAGAAAAGCGGCCTCTTTATATAAAACAAATAAAAGAATAATTAAAAGGCAGACCACACATCTCCGTAGACTTAAGCAACACTATTTAAACCTCTCCCATTAAACCATCCAGCCCAGCCCTGGATCCCAAAGGAAAGAAGAACCTCCAGGGAATCGGGGGGGGGGGCTGGGTGGGTTTCCTCTTTCTTTCCCTGGGAAACTCAGGGCGGCCCCACCTTTGCCCTCCTCAACCCCACAACCGTCTGCCATCATCCTCTCTCAAGTGCTGGGAGGCAGGAAGGGGAAGGACCAGGCATGCCCCTGGGCAACCATAAAGGATGGGAGGGGGGCTGTTTTGTTGGTTTTTTGGTGGGGTGGGGAGGAAATCCCAGGGGAGGTGAAGGGAGGAAGAGGAAGAGGGAGGAAGGAGGCCGGGCTTTTCTGAGAGCCAAAGGAAAATCAAGGACTGACCGGAAAAGACAGGAAAGAGTTTTTTGTCTGGAGGGGGAAGGATTACGCCTGCCCACCCCCTCCGTCCTCCCCCCAAAGCCACCTCCTTGGGAAGAAGACAGGAGGAGAGGGGGCAGGAAATGCTGGGCTGCTGGTCCCGATGAAAATAAATAGGCAAGGAAATAACAGCAGAACAGCAGAACACACACTGTGGGCTGAGGAGGGACACCCACACCCCGGCCTTAAGCGAAATCTGTTTGGTTTTACTTCTGCAGATTTTCAGGTCAGAAACATGGGAATGTAGCCTAAACTGCATCTCAACACAAACAACAGAGACACGGACACACACCCGTTCGAAGGCGGTTTGGTCCCAGGCTCCCACGGCCTTTTCTGAATAATTGGGGGGGGGATCTCCCCGGGAACTAATTGGGGGGGTCTCCCCACATCTGTCGAAGGGTAGGGATGGCTGCCCATCCCAAAGCCTTACACTCTCTCCCCCCCCCAGATGGGAGGGAGGGCTGTGCCAGGAGAAGCCCCCCCCCAAAAAACGCTTTATTCTTGATCCCAAGGAAAATAGAGAAGCAAGTCAATAAGTGTCAGACAATAACAACAGCAACAAAACACACGCCCTGGACTGAAGAGGGACCCCCGCTGTCCGCCCCCATGCCAAGTCATGTCTGTCAGGTTTTGACTTCTGCAGATTATCAGGACAGAAATCTGGAAATGTACCTGAAAGCGTATCTCAGACAGACAGACAGACAGACATACGTGAGGGTTTGAAGTCAGTTTGGTCCAAAGACCCCACGGCCTTGTCTGGCAGCCAGAAATTACTTCCCCAGGAACTAATTGGGGGGGGTTCTCCACCTGTCTGTCAAAGGGAAGGAACGTCCCTCTCTCACAAGGACCCGCATTCTCTCTCACACACACCCAAATTTTCCCTCCCTCCCTTCTCCTCAGCAGCCTCTCCTTCCCATAGTCCAGGAATCTCTTCAGCTTCTCCAGGCATTCCCCCTCCAGGTAGGCCTTCATTCTTTGGCCGTAGGCAGGATCATTCTCCCACTTCTCTTTGGTGATCTGGGCCTTGGGAAGGGCCGCCGTCCAGGTGACGGTCTCCGTGTCGAAGCTGAGGTAGTCCCTCCCGTCGTAGGCGGCCTGGTCATACCCTCCTCCTGGGCTCCCGTGCTCCTTCAGTTCACAACCGTACATCCACTGCAGGGAGTGAAACCCTGAAAACAGACACACAGGATGTGTGTGTGAGAGAGACACGAGAGAGTCGCAGACCCCAAGGGGTGAGAAAGGGGGAAAGATTTCCCTCCGGCAAGGCCAGCCCCCCCAAGAGACCATCTGAGCACTTGGGGGTGACTTGGGGGGGAGACACTCCAGGGGTGGAAAGGCCCTCCTTCCTCTTTCATGCATCGCTTCGTTTCAAACACGCCCACCTTGCCCTTCGCCTCAAATACGACCCCCCGGCCCAAGAGTCAGGCAACATCCCGACACGACCCCTGAGGAGTTCTCTTGGCCGCCTGGATGGGGACAGAGCCCCACGCCTTCCCCACAGAGGACCCCCTTGGGCCCCCTCCA